CGGCCCTGCTGGCACTAACACAATTACCGTGACACTTTCCAGCCCTCGTCTCTCCGACCGTTCCGTTTCTGTTGATTCGATTTGCGTGGAACCGGCCGCGGGCCCGGCTGGCTGCCGCCATCCCCGGAGCCAGTTGGGCTGCTGGCACTCCCTGCCCTGGCCAGAGATCCCTCCGGTGCCATCCCACAGCAGTCACCAAGGGCTGGCAGCAAGGGGTGTCACATCCGCGGTGCCACATCCGTGATCCGGTGTCACATTCGTGATCCGTGTGGTTCCCTGTGTGGAGCTGCTCTGTGACGATGGCAGAGCTGTGCTGGGGTGTGAGGGTGGTGCCCGCTCCCAAAAATACGTGGGGAGGGATGTGGGGCAGCAGGCCCCGCTCTGGGTGGGGTGCCAAGGGGAGGAGATGGGTGTGGTGGAGTCTGGGGTGCCATGAGCATGAAGGGGGCACAGAGGGGCACCAGGGTGGTCTGAGGGGCCTGGGGTCACTCAGGCACAGCCCAGCCTGGGCTCAGGGTGTCTCCTCAGTCCCCATCCATCCCAGGGACCTGTGACTGGCACCACTTGGTGGCTGCAGGTCGGGCTGGAGCAGCTGTGGGAGAAGGAGCTGGAGCAGGACCTCTGCGCCGCCCCACTTTATTATTGAATTTAACCTACAGTCTTCCTTACATGCCACAGTGCCCGTAACTAGTGCAGAGGCTGCTTTTATGTGCAAATGAGGCTTTTTTTTTTTTAATCTTTGACAGAGAATGTGCTGTGTTTACATAACAGAGGGCCCTGGTACTCTGGAGAGGGCCACTGACAGTGCTGGCAGGAGATGTTAAGAAAGATCTAACATTTCTGATCTCTGTTTAGCCAGAGGCGCTGCGAGGCGGCGGGAGCAGCAGGGGAGGGTGGCTCTGGGGTGCCCTGGAGAGCAGCTTGGCTGTGCCTGCCCGGGGCTCCAGGGCCAGGAACCTGGGGCAGAAGGGATGGAGCTGCTGCAGGAATGATGTGGCACCAGAGGGTGACGATCTGGGTGTCCCTATGCTGTGATGGAGACCCCAGAACCCTCTCTAGGGTCTCCAACCCAATGGCTTGGGACAGGGTTGGAGACCCCGGAGAGTCTCCAACAACCTTGGGGTGACCAAAAAGTGGTGGTGAGCCCAAAGCTGGTGCTGAAGCAGCAGCCAGGAGCTGAAGGGATGAGCTGTCCCAGCTTCCCTCTGTCATCCAGTGCCACCAGCACAGGGAAAAACTCCTCCTGCCAGGTTAAGTGGAAAAATGACCAATATCCTGCGGCCTGCCAGGTTCAAGCGCATTAATTCCAGGGAGTCGGTTAATGGCAGTATTGATTAGTCTCAGCGCTGGGCTAACGAGCATCCATGCTAATGAGGGGTGAGTGGTGGGAATTGCAGCAGCTGGAGCAGTTCCAGGGAGCTTTGGTTGTGGGGTGAAGGTAGAGCTCCCCCAAAAGAGGCTCCACGTGCCTGGGGAGGGGGTTCATCCCCCTGGATAGGCTGTGGCATGTGGAAAATTGAATATTTGTGTGCCAAAACCATGATTTCCGGCTGACACCTGCGTTTTTTCTGGACAAGAGGGTGATGTCATGAGTCTGAGGGAAAAACCTGTCTGCTCCATGCTTGGCATCATGGCAGGGTCCATCCATGCTGCGTGTCTGTGTCGTGCTGGGTCCTGTGGAACTCCCAGCTCCCTGTGCATCCGTGGGGTTGTGGCTCTGGTTGGGTTTATCCCACACTGTGAGCTCCAGGATCCCACTCAGGGAGGTGTTGTGTGGGAAGGAATCTCCCAATCCCAATCCCATGCACGATGCTCTAGTGTTGAGGGTGAAGGCACCCTGACTCTTCCTTGGAAAATTGCTCAGTTTTTGAACTTTTTGCTTTTTTCTCTCTTTTTTCTCTGCAAACACTTGAAAGGCCCCGTTCCTCCCCCTGGCCCTGTCTCACTGCAGTCACCCCTATGGGGATGGGGGGCTGACATCCCAAATTTGGCTTTGCATTTCCTTTGTGCATCTTGGCAAAAAGCGGGATGGGGAGGGAGAATGAACTTGGAATTTGGAGAGCCAAATTTTGCTTTGGGGTGCCCAGGAGTATCCTTGGAGTGATCC